GGTTTTGCGGTACTAGCTGCGGCAGTAGTGGCGGTAGTACTGCGTGAGGGCGGTAGTATCGCTCTACCTCCGCGGTAGTACCGCCCTGGGCCCCTGCCCCAGCCCTTCTCTTCTGGCGCGGTAGTACCGCTGAGGGGGAGCGGTAGTACCGCTTGAGGGCGGCAGTACTGCTCTACCTCAGCGGTAGTACCGCTCTCTGCGGGGCTGTGTGGGGGATAACGGTTGGATTTTCCCCCTCCTATAAAAGGGGGTCTTCTTCCCCATTGAACCCAAGCTTTTGAGCTCGTGTTCTTCCCCCATTGTTGACCTTCTTCGAGCTTGCTAACTCTCAATCCCTCCATGGATTCTTGCTAGTTTTTGAGGGAAAAGGGAGAGGAGATCTAGATCCACATTTTCACCAATCACTTTCTCCTCTATGTGAGGGGAACCCCTTGGATCTAGATCTTGGAGTTCTTGGTGTTCTCTTTCTTGTTCTTCCTCTCATTTTCCTCCCTAGCATTAGTTGCTTCGGTGGGATTTGAGAGAGAAGGACTTGGGCACTCCGTGTGCCCTTGCCATTGCATTTGGTGCATCGGTTTGAGTTCTCCACGTGATACGTGGAAGTTACAAGTTGAGAAGCTTATTACTCTTGGGTGCTTGGTACCCTTGAGCTTGTTCCTCTTGGGTGCTTGGGCGCCCTAGACGGTTGTTGGTGTTCGGAGCTCAATCATTGTGGTGTAAAGCTCCGGGCAAGCGTCGGGGTCTCCAATTAGGTTGTGGAGATCGCCCCGAGCAATTTGACGGGTACCGGTGACCGCCCCAAGGGTTGCCAAAGTGTACGGGTTCGGTGACCGCCCCCAAGGGTTGCCATTTGTACGGGTTCGGTGACCGCCCTCAAGGGTCCCTTAGTGGAATCACGGCATCTTGCATTGTGCAAGGGCGTGAGGAGATTACGGTGGCCCTAGTGGCTTCTTGGGGAGCATTGTGCCTCCACACCGCTCCAAACGGAGATTAGCATCCGCAAGGGTGTGAACTTCGGGATACATCGTCGTCTCCTCGTGCCTCGGTTATCTCTTACCCGAGCCCTTTACTTATGCACTTTACTTTGTGATAGCCATATTGTTTCTTGTCATATATCTTGCTATCACATAGTTGCTTATCTTGCTTAGCATAAGTTGTTGGTGCACATAGGTGAGCCTAGTTGTTTTAGGTTTTGTGCTTGACAAATTAACCGCTAGGTTTATTCCGCATTTGTTCAAGCCTAAACCGTAATTATTTTAAAACGCCTATTCACCCCCCCTCTAGGCGACATCCATGATCTTTCAGAGCACCACCATTGTAACGAACGGCATCGGCCAACTGAGACCAAAACCACAACACTGCACCGTCGAAGCAATTGAAAGTCTTCACGCATCCGAGACTGCACAACGCCACGACACTACCGATGTCACGAAGGACATTCGAAGGGTCACGCGAGACCGAGACGACGCCACGACACCTATGTGCCACCGATGTAGTCAAAGGGCATCGCCAAGCAGACCAAACTACGAAATTTCACTGTTGACGCAATCAAAAGGCGACATGTATCCGAGACTACACAACATCGCGACACTACCTATGTCGGGGGTTCATCCGAAAGGGCGCACAAGGCCGAGACGATGCCACGGTACCTGTGTACCACCGACTTAGTCGAAGGGCATCACCAAGCAGACCAAACGACGACATTGCACCATCGATGCAATCGAAAGGCGCCATACATCTAGGACTGCACAACGTCACGACACCACCTATGTCAGGGGTACATCCGAAAGGGCACACGAGGCCGAGACAATGCCATGGTACATGTGTGTCACCGACAAGGTCGCAGGGCACTGCCTAGCAAAGACACACCAAAAAGCACTCGAGCACGAACACCACCGAAGAAGAACACAAAAACCACCGTCGACCCCAAACTAGCCGCACCACCACCGACATCAGCCACACTACCACCGACATCAGCTGCATTGATTTGTTACGTGAAAACATCCCATGATATACAACAGTAATAACAAGGTTATTTGATAATGGCATGCTAAAAAATGGTAGTGATATTTTACCAATTGATAATCCCCTCACAAAGAAAAGAGGTACTAATGATAATCGTTTGTGTTCACCCAGAGTCGCCATCGGTGAACAATTGAGAGGGTGCTTGGATCCAAGGGATTATTTTTAGTCTGACTAAAAATAGTCTCTTTTAGAGGCTAAAGTTCCAAGCACTCTGACTAAAGAGAGGCTAAGACTAGTCTTGAGGCTAAAAAATTTTAATCATAGGAAACCTACTAAAATATATATTAGCTCTCTCTCTCCTCATTTAATTGCTCTCCTTTAACACATGCGAGTTCTGGATTGGAGGGTTTGGAGGATAATAAATGTTCAATAACTTAATTTTAGTCTATTTAGTATTTGGATCCAAGCATAGGTGAGGCTAGCAAGTTTTAGTCCCACTACTTTTAGTCATGGGACTAAAACGTATCCAAGCACCCTCTAATAATTCTTCTTTTTTGTTGTCCCTACCACTAACCTAATCGTTTGTGCCCGCGCTCTCATTGAAAATAAGGTAACCGGTGTTAATCCGCTTCTGAATGTTACAAAACATGTTTTGCATAAACACATCACTTAGCAAAAATTTGCTAATCACAATAACCAGATTATTCATCTTCTTTCCTCTTTGCCAGGAATAAGTGAGACCTTTTTCCTTCTTCAGAAATGTTGGGACTCATCAACTCACAAAATGCACGGCCATCAAGGAAGCAAGAACCTACTACTATTTAACTGAACCAAGTCAATCTTATCATGCCCATACATAAGACAACAGAGTTCTAAAACTAGGATATCATAGTCTGCTTCTATCAGTTCTAAACTTATTCCATCAAACCACTGATGCAAAACCTTCTGTAGGCAGTTTAATACAGGAGCATCTTTCCAATTCCACACTCAATTGGATTCAACATCCAATGTCAGGACGAAGCCTATAAATTCTGAGTTCAGAACCAGATGGAAATTCAAGAAAAACACACGAAAATGGGTCATCACGGAATATGTTTTGCAAAATCACACTGCTAATGCAAAAGGCTTGCTAATCTCAACACGCAGCGGCAGATCCAAGCTAACATTGCCCTCTCATTAGTTTAACTATCCTTGTTCCTGATCGCAAGAACCGAAACTATTCATCTTTTTTTCCCTTTTGCCAGTAATAATAAGTGAGACCTTTTAATTTCTTCAAAACTAACTCACAATATTTCAAATGTTAGCCAACTCATCAAATCCTACATCTCATCTCAAAGGAAAGAAGAAGAAGAAGCATGCCAGTAGCAAAATGGCATTGCCGCCATCCTGGTTGAGTCGCCAGTTGTGAGATAACAAATAGCACCACACAGCCAGCTGCAGTTCACATTCACTAGACAGAATTAGATAACAAAATCAACAAAAAGACACAGAAAACTGGAACATACTTGCTTGCAAATTAAGCGAACCGAGAGGGACAAGTACTAATTAATGGAAGCAAATTAATGTTCCTTCATGCCAGCCGAGAATGTCTACATAAGTTAGATAATAGATAAATCCAAGCGATTAGTTCCTACAAGTTCATTTAACAGCTGACCAATGCATGCTACATAGAGGCTCAATCTCTGCAGTCGACCTTTAGAATGGGAGAAACTACACCAACAACTCGTTTCTACATCTCAGCCACCAGAATGTAACTGTAGATTCCTGCAGAGCATGCAATATCATATCAGTCGAACAAACTTGGTACTATTCAATCAGGAGTTATTCTCATAATTTTTCTATGACTCAAGCAGAAAACATTGTGGAAATTGTGTCAAAAGCTCCAAAGTTATACCATCTCTGCATTATTAGACAGATACAACCAACATTTGAAAGAGAGAACGATAATAGGTAATTTGTAGTGTAGTAATGCACCTTCAACTTCTAATATTAGCAGTCTTTGGCTACATCTGGTCTGCATAAAGACTAAAAGATAAGTGGGCTTATGAGGGGCTCATTAAGTAGGATAGCAGAAATGTCTGGTTTCTAGTTCGGTTTCTAGTTCATAAGCATGCTTTTAGAAATGTACGAGCTAGCTAGTCAATAACAAATCGAAATTCATCAAATTCTTGCAGTACAAGCCTCAAACAAGGGGCCATGCATCATCTTACTAACTAAGACTTCGGTCCAAAATGACTGTTAATTTTTTACTCTCCAGTCTCTACGGCATCGAGTAGTACTTCCACCACTAACATGCCAGTAAAAGTAAAAAAAGGTATTGGTGATAAGAGCAGTTTTTATGGTGAATCTAATCATGTCAGTTTGATCACTTGTTTCATATGAAGTTTTAAACATCAATGGTGGCAACTGATGAAGAAATTACAGTCCACAAAAAACATAGCTACTGATAGTTTGGACCAACCAAATTAATATTAGTGGCTAATGGCCAATTACCTATATATAAGAATTTGTCAGACAACACACGAAATGCGGAGAAAATGTTTAAACAAACAGCCTAAAACAAGAATAATCGTCGATAAATGCAAGCAACAAAATAAATCATACTCCCTCCGCTTCTAAATGCAGACACGAGCATATCGCACAAATAGGGAATTGGGAAGGATCCTAACTCCTAATTCACCAGCCACCGGAGAAGATAGAGGGAGAAGAACCCACAGTACCAGAAGGAACTGGGTGAGTACTAAGGAGTAGGTAAACTGAAAGCAAGGCAGACGGATGGGAGAGGAGGGCAATTGAAATAACACATCCAGTATAAGGGGAGGCAGAGGGGGTACAACATCAGCAAACAAAAGAGAAGGACGGCATGTGGAAGTAAATGGGAAGCTGCTCAGGAAGGGATAAGAAGTAAAGCCTGGAAAAATAATACAGGTGCAGCATAAAGCATGACAAGAGTCCTCTCTTGCAGTACAAACTATTTCAGATATCTTACCATACATGCAGAAGCTAAGTTTACCTGCTCAAAGAGACAACCATCTTTATGTGTTTTGCAAAAGATCAGGTGCACCATGTCCACCACCGATGCCTGTTTCTGCAAGCATAAGTCAAACAACCTATGACATTCCAACGAAAGGCCAAATAGGTACAAGGAGGCATCAAGGAGATATTCAGATGAACTCACAGCTTTAGTTGGAACAAAAAGTCAGTTTGATACAACATTAGAAACAGATAAACAAAACCACATCTATTATTGAATTTAAAGAATATCCAAAAACAGTATATACTGATCAATATTGTAAAATTGAAGAACATGCACGCTTAGACTATTATGCTATTAGCTGGTCAGAAGAGACAAGTTAACCAGAATTATTAAGCTCATTCCGTGCCATACTTGGAAAAAACAATAATGATACTAAAAAATCTAGCAAAAAAGTTATCATGATATTTTAGAGTATCTTTAAATAAATTTTGCCTGAAAAATGTACAAAAGAACGCATTAGTAGTTTCCATGAACAAAAGAAATGGACTTGCACCACAACAGACTCTCCTAATAGTGATAAAGTGACAAATTTTTATGAATTTGAAATGAACTCGTTAGTACTGAGTTAAGATTATTAGCATGATTAGCAGATATAAGTTTTAACCAACTGAAATGTCAAATAGGCAGCTCAAGGTACATTTGTAAGCTTAAAGGTAGTTCTATTTCTTCCATTAGGTATTGACGTTACAGTTGGTTCAAACTAGTTTTTCGTGTTGTTTTCAACTTCCATCTGTTAAGTGTCTTGGCTTGGGATAAACTACACTGAAGCTATGCACTAAAAATACCCTCATAAAATTATTGCATATGTCAATAGGCAGGCAATAGCAAATTTAGTTTCATTATCACACAAAGAATCTGCCAATATTGGTGTTCATTGTTTTCTTGTATGGATACTCATATAATGAACTGAGAAGGACAGTTTGCTGGCTCTGACTTGAACCATATAGTTCAGTGATAATAATTATATGATAAAAAAGGACAGACCCAGTGCTAGAAGCTCCCACACCGGGTGGGGTCTAGTGATGGATTATACAAGGCATTGCCACATAATTTTTTGACAAATCAGATAACAACAAATAGCCCATCGCCCAGGTGACACTAACTAGCAGTAGCACATGTGAACCCAGCTCATAACCATCACATAAAACACCACCACATAAGCACCGGGACAGAGACATTACAGAAAGAAAATTGCTATATGTTGAAGAGGTCATCAAGCAGCAAAAGAAATAAGTGATACGACACTACTTAAAATTGTTAGCTTAACATGAAAGGATGTGAATAAGATCCCATCTCAATTATCAAAAAATAACTTGGTTTTGTAAATAAAGAAGTGTGGAGGCATGCTAGTGATGCTATTACCTGCAATGTAGACACTTTCGAATGGATGAAGGTGACAAAATTTGTTGTATCCAGAAAGTTTCTTGTACTGCAATGACTGAAGCTGAACTGTGAAGAGGCCGAAAACGGTGGGCAGAACCAGCAAATTATTGTCCTCGGCAAATCGTATTATCCCTATATGCTTCTCTAAATTCAGGGAAAGAAGTTTATTCAGATCAATGGTTCTTTTCAGTTCCCATGAGCCAACACCATCAGAATCCATCTTCCTCTTCCATAATTGAGCTTGGGCAGTGAGGTCTTTCACGATGAGGAAACCCAGCCCACCACCGTCTTCCTGCACGACTGTTACACGGCCTAGAAAAACATCCGCCGCCCCTGGCATCCGTATCACAGCAAGCTTCTGCTTCTCTAAATCAAACTCAATGATTTGCTTCTCCGCATTAAATGGAGAGTGGCTTGATGAACTCCCTTTAAGTAACCAGTAAAGGGAACGCCCAACCAGCACAGCAGGCACTGTATCAACTGCGATGGGAAGGACGTTGGGAACCTCGGACTCAATCGGTGTCGAGGTGACATTGCCCCACCCGCCGGTCTCCGACGAGTAAACGCAGGCGAACACTCGCCTTTGTTTTCTGTCGTCGTCGCCTGCCGCTACCAAGACCACCTGGAAGTGCTGGACGTCTGGCCCAGCACGAAGCACCGCCCCGTTGACGGTCGAGCCCTCCGGATCGAACCCCGGGGGGCAGGCTAGGCGGTGCTGGTGGCCGGTGACGGGGTCCCACACAAGGTAAAGGCGCCTCAGGTCGAAGACTAGCACGAGGCCATGGCGGCATCCGATGCACCGGAAGGGGATCGGGTCGCTGTCGCCGGGCTGCAAGGAGAAGCGCCCGGGCGGGACACGATTGGGCGCCTCCAGAGCAGGTATGAAGGAGCGGCCGAGAGAATTTTCAAAGAAACCGAGGAGGGGAAGATTGCGGCGGTGGTGGATGCGGAAACGGCGGCAGAAGCCGGGGTCGGAGGCGAGGCTGCGCCAGCGCGTGCAGACGGCGGAGGCGCGGGGGAGGGAGGACGGCTGCGGGGGGAGGCGGAGGAGGATCTCGGAGAGCAGGTCGTCGTTCTCCAGTGGACCCGCCGCCGGCGACGGCGGCGGGCGGTGGCGGCTGGTCATCTCGCTCGCCCTAGTCGCTGGTGCGGAACTTTTTTCTTTTCTTTTCGGAGAAATGGTGCGGCTCTGGACTTGAATCGCAACGTAGTCAAGTGGAGAGCCCAAAGATGGCTGGAGGCTGGATACTGAAGCCATGCTCCTCTCGAGAAAGCCTCCGTCATCAGCGGCAGGGCTACAATATAAAAGCCGTCGACATGGCCCGCAAACGGCGGGCCCTACCTACCGGCCAAGAACACGGCAGCCGGCGGGGCCCAGCAGCCGGCGGAGAAGCCGGCGTCCAGAGATACTAACGGCCGGGTCCTACACTTGATCGGATTACCATTGTATTCCTGGAGGGTAGGTCTATATAAACCCCCAGATTCACCCATGCAAAGGGTTTAGAACCTTAGAGATCACACACATCCATTGAAGGAGAAGATAGAGCTAGCCTTGCTCTTCTTCCTCCTCTAGCCGAAATAGCTCAAGGAGCAATCTTGTAGCTATTCTATTGACGATGGTCATCATGCGGAGACCCTGCAGAACAGAATTAGGGGTGTTATCTCCACGAGAGCCCCGGACCTGGGTAAGATTCGCAGGCGCATGCGGTCTCGCTCACTCCCGCTTCTAGAGCCCGACGACGTACTCTTGTCCCCCTCCATGATAAGCCACCCCCTAGCATATGTCGCTAGATATCCCCGACAGATACATTCAAAAGGACACACGAGGCCGAGACGATGCCAGGGTAGCTGTGTGCCACCGGCGTAGTCGCAGGGCATCGCCTAGTAGAGACACACCAAGAAGCACTCGAGCACGAACACCACTGAAGAAGAGCACAAAAACCACCGTCAACCCCAAGCCAGCCCCACCACCACCACCACCACTCGAGCACTCTATCTTATCATGCCAAGATAACAGAGAGAAGTTAGAATGAAAAATATTTCAGTTTGTTAGGCCACTACTAAGTTTTGAAGAAAGATAGACATGATGTGAGCTTTATCTAAACTTTGTGAAGTAGTATGATTTTTCTTTTGGGGGGAACTGTGGACTAGGATATCATAGTCTGCTTCTGTCAGTTGTAAAGCGTATTCCATCAAACCACTCATGCAAAACGTTTGTGAAGCTGAAAGCAGAGGTGATTGAATTCCCAGCACCAGGTAAGCAGCTCCACACAGGAGCATCTTCCAACTCCCTGTCACACTCAATTGGATTCAACATCCACTAAGTCAGGATGAAGCCTATAAATTCTGAGTTCAGATGGAAATTCAACAAAAACACATGCAAAATGGGTCACCACGGAACATGTTTTGCATAATCACACCACTAATGCAAAAGGCTTGCTAATCTCAACACGCAACGGCAGATCCAAGCTAACATTCCCTCGCATTGGTTTAGCTATCCCTGTTCCTGATCGCAAGAACCGAAACTATTCATCTTATTTTCCTTTAGACAGGAATAATAAGTGAGACCTTTTAATTTCTTCAAAACTAACTCACAATATTTCAAATGTTAGCCAACTCGTAAAATCCTACATCTCATCTCAAAGGAAAGAAGAAGAAGAAGCATGCCAGTAGCAAAATAGCATTGCCGCCATCCTGGTTGAGTCGCCAGTTGTGAGATAACAAATAGCACCACACAGCCAGCTGCAGTTCACATTCACTAGACAGAATTAGATAACAAAATCAACAAAAAGACACAGAAAACTGGGACACATTTGCTTGCAGATTAAGCGAACTGAGAGGTACAAGTACTAACTAGTGGAAGGAAATCAATGTGTCTTCATGCCAGCCAAGAATGTCTACATAAGTTAGATAATTGATAAATCAAGCGATTAGTTACTGCAAGTTCACTTAACAGCTGACCAATGCATGCTACATAGAGGCTCAATCTCCGCAGTCGACCTTTAGAATGGGAGAAACTACACCCAACAACTCGTTTCTACATCTCAATCACCAGTATGTAACTATAGATTCCTGCAGAGCAAGCAATATCATATCAGTCAACTTGGTACTATTCAATCAGGAGTTAATCTCATAAAGTTTTCTATGACTCAGCAGAAAATGTTTGCTTCACAATTGCGGAAATTGTGTCAAAAGCTCCAAAGTTGAACCATCTCTGCATTATTAGACAAATTAAACCAACATTTGAAACAGAGAACGATAATAGGTACTCCCTCCGTTTTTATTACTCCGCGTATTAGCTTTGGTCAAAGTCAAACTTTGTAAACTTTGATAAAGTTTGTAGACAAAAATATTATCATATACAATTAAAAATCAACACCATTAGATTCATTATCAAATGTATTTCCACGTCATATAGATTTGTTATGGTAATTATTTATATTCCTTTCTATAAACTTGGTCAAACTTTAGGAAGTTTGACTTCAGTCAACTCTAATATGTGGAGTAAATAAAAACAGAGGGAGTAATTTGTAGTGTGGTAGTGCACCTTCAACTTCAATATTAGCAGTCTTTGGCTACATCTGGTCTGTGTAAAGACTAAAAGATAAGTGGGCTTATGAGGGGCTCATTAAGTAGGATAGCATAAGAGCAACTCCAACGCGCCGACCCATTTTGTCCGCGCGTGTCAGTTTGGTTCAAAACGGACACAAAGGTCGGTCCAACGCGCCGACCCAAACGGACGCGCGTCCGCTTTTCGTCCACCGCGCGACCCATTACAGGCTCAAATTTGGGCCTAATTTGCGTTCGCGCGGACACAAGGCGGATGCGCGCGACGTCCGCCTACTCCTCCCCCTGGCCCATAGGTCATTCTCTTCCTCCCATAGACAGCAAGCACCCGGCCGCCCCACCCCGTCACCACTGCCGCCCAGTTTCGGTGCCCTCGCCAGCCAGCCGCACCCACATACCTCCCCCGCAGCACGCCACCTTCCAACGTTGCCGCCACTGCCGCCTCGCCGCCGAGCCACCACGGCTTCCCGGACGTCGCAGCCAGCACCACCTCGCCCCTCGTGCCCCCGGCGAGCTCCTACGACGACGACGCCACGCTCGCCGGACGCCGCTAAGCCAGCTACCTGGTCCAGAGGAGGTGCGCAGCTCTTCGTCAGCCTGCTTCTTCGATGACGCCCGCAAGCTTTTCGACGGTTTGCCCGCAAGGTACAAATGGACTCCGCCGACGAGTTCTTTTTCTACAATTTCATTTGCGACTTGAATGATTCTGTTAGAACAGGGTTGTGCTGTGTATGTAGTTATCATATCGTATAGGGGCTTCTTTGCTTATTTCCCTTCATGTATATGTGCTGGCTTGTTGGCCCGATGGAATACATGCTCACTTCATAACATGATATCAGAGCTAGGGTGTAACACCCTCGATGCGACTATAGCTCCCACGTATCGAGGCACGACTTAGAGACATAATCGCATTGAAGGCATATGTCGCAAGTGAGGTAATCTTCACACAACCCATGTAATAGATAAGGGAAAGAGATACATAGTTGGCTTACAATCGCCACTTCACATAAATACATGAATAAAGCATTACATCATTCAAATACACTCAAGGTCCGACTACGGAACCAAAATAAAAGAAGAACCCCAAATGCGACAAAGGTCCCCGATCGACCCCAACTGGGCTCCACTACTGATCAACTAGAACGAAACAACACAAAGGACAAGATCTTCAACGAGCTCCTCCTGAGCTTGGTTGCGTCATCTGCACGGACTCACCGGCACCTGCAAGCTGGTTTTGGAAGTATCTGTGAGCCACAGGGACTCAGCAATCTCGCACCCTCGCGATCAAGACTATTTAAGCTTATGGGTAAGGTAAATGTATGAGGTGGAGCTGCAGCAAGCGACTAGCATATATGGTGGCTAACATACGCAAATGAGAGCGAGAAGAGAAGGCAAAGCACGGTCGGTGAAAGTATGATCAAGAAATGATCCTGGACTACCTACGTCAAGCATAACTCCAACAACCGTGTTCACTTCCCAGACTCCGCCGGAAAGAGACCATCACGGTTACACACGCTGTTGATTCATTTTAATTAAGGTCAACTTCAGGTTTTCTACAACCGGACATTAACAAATTCCCATCTGCCCATAAACGTGGGCACGGCTTTCGAAAGTTCAAATCCCTACATGGGTGTCCCAACTTAGCCCATCACAAGCTCTCACGGTCAACGAAGGAATAGACCTCCACCCGAGACGTTCCGATCAGACTCGGTATCCCGGTACAACAAGACATTTCGACAGGGTAAAACTAAACCAGCAACACCGCCCGATGCGCCGACATCCTGATGGGAGCTGCACATATCTCGTTCTCAGGGCAACACCGGATGAGACATCCTACGAGTAAAACCAGCCCTCAAGTTTCCCCGAGGTGGCCCCGCAGTCTACTCAGTTCGGACCAACACTTAGACAAGCACTGGCCCGGGGGGGTTAAAATAAAGATGACCCTCGGGATGCGCGACTCCCAAGGGAAAAAGGCTAGGTGGCAAATGGTAAAACCAACGTTGGGCATTGCTGGAAAAGCTTTACTTAAGGCGAACTGCCAAGGGGTTCCCATTATAGCCCAACCGCGTAAGGGACGCAAAATCCGGGAACATAACACCGATATGACGGAAACTAGGGCGATAAGAGTGGAACAAAACACCAGGCATAAGGCCAAGCCTTCCACCCTTTACCAAATATATAGATGCATTAATTAAATAAGATATATTGTGATATCCCAACAAGTAAAACATGTTCCAACAAGGAACAACATCTCCATGTTCCAACAAGGAACAGACTTCAATCTTCACCTGCAACTAACAACGCTATAAGAGGGGCTGAGCAAAGCGGTAACATAGCCAATCAACGGTTTGCTAGGACATGGTGGGTTAGAGGTTTGACATGGCAATTTGGGAGGCTGACAAGCAAATGGTAGGCATCGTAGCATTGGCATAGCAAACGAGCAAGCAAACTAGCATAGCAAAGATAGTAGTGATTTCGAGGGTATGATCATCTTGCCTGAAATCCCGCAAGGAAAAAGAACGAGTCCATGAAGAAGACAAACGGACGAAGTTGAACGGATCCTCACAAACTCGACGTTACCGGAACCAACCCGAAGAAGCAATCACCGAAAAAGAAGCACACAACATAGTAAACAACCAACACATCAACATGGCATGATGCACAATCGAGTATGATGCATGTCCGGTTTAA